TGCATCTTGTTGAAGACACCGTTGTTTTCCATGACTGATATAGTCTTTTTCTCATATAGTCCAGTGACTAGGATATTGCATTAAAACTTTATTATGAGATGCAAGATAACGCCTTGTTTCCTAGTGTAAGATCTCGGTCATTGTTTCAATAGCATGAGTCATCGTATATCCAACTGCTCAGATCTAATCTGGCAGTCATAAATTTTTTCGGCACAAAGTTTTGACACTTTTGCTTATAATGTATCATTTTCAATTTATTATTTTACATTCAATCCATGCATTGTATTTATGTGACATCAAATTTGCATCTTGTTGAAGACACCGTTGTTTTCCATGACTGATATAGTCTTTTTCTCATATAGTCCAGTGACTAGGATATTGCATTAAAACTTTATTATGAGATGCAAGATAACGCCTTGTTTCCTAGTGTAAGATCTCGGTCATTGTTTCAATAGCATGAGTCATCGTATATCCAACTGCTCAGATCTAATCTGGCAGTCATAAATTTTTTCGGCACAAAGTTTTGACAATTTTGCTGATAATGTATCATTTTCTATTTGGACATTGTTGGAGATACCGTTCCATTTCATGGCTGATGCATTCTTTTTCCAAATAGCCTAGTGACTGAAACATTGCACTAGAGCTTCATTATGAGATATGAGATGACGTTTTATGTCCTTGCATCAGATCTCCTGTCAAACGTCCAACAGATTATCACTGACGCTTCACAAGACATGTCGGGTTACTCCGAAAAAAATTGCAATACCCAGAATCATTTTTCATAAAATATTTCCGTCTCAAAATTATTTTTTATTTTAATTAATTATATAATTATTCAATATAATTATTCATTTATTTCCCGGAAAAATCACGAAAAACTAATTTGAGAATAATATGTTGGTGAAATATCTCGGAATGTTTCGAAGATAATTACATCGTCGCATTGTCTTTTTAAACGGAAATTTCTCTGGTTTTTCAATGACGGAACAATAATCACCTATTTATCAATATTTGTTATTATCATTTATCGGTCGCTGGTGAATGCTAGATGGCAGATGTGGGGTAATAAAATGGTCACACGAGGTTCAGCGGAAAATCAATAATTGGGATGCGATGCGGAGGGGGTGGGTAATGGGGAAACTCGTCTGCGGAGTAGAACGTAGGGAACAGTACGTTCTCATAATTTTTTTTTGATATTTTGAGGAATATGGGATTTTTCAAGTATTTGGAAGTGGTGTTTTGAAGTTTTTATCGGAAACACATGGAGTGATTGCGGCAACCGCTGAGGACACGCTGCGACAAAATGTCAGTTAAGGTAATTATCTATTTTTTTGAAAAAAAAAATAATAATAATAAATAAAATAAATTTTCCTCTTCTTTTGAACCTTTCATTTTTTCTTGTTTTGCGATTTTTTTTGAGGGCATCAGTTTCTGGGGGGGTTTGTGGTGGAGTGTTAGAGGTATTTTTGGAGGCAATATGGAGATAGAGATTGGGGTAATAAATAATTGATGTCTAGGTTTGAAAGTCAAATTTTTTTTCGGATATTTTTAGAGTCTAGGTGAGGGATTGACTTTGTGTAGATAACTGCGTAGGTTTTGAGAACTGATGTACGAATGTGGACTATAATGTCAAAAGGGTCAGGGCAAAGAGTTTCATTTTTTTTTTTGATGGAAAAAAATTCTCCACTTTTCGAATTATGTGATATCTAGGTTTTTCAAGACCAACAGAATTACAAAAAAAATAGAATTATTCCGCATCATTTTGAAAGGTCAAAAAAGTCAAAATCCAAAATTTTAACAAAAAAAATTAACGGATAAAAATGAATAATGAAAATCGTCTAATATTTATATCCTTTCAAGCACTCGTAAGGGTCAAGGAAAAAAAGATAAGCCTAAAAAATTGGAGTAAAAAAAATCAACGGATAAAAGCGAACAATAAGAATTTTTTAGTATTGATATTCTACAAATTTTCAAATTCTTGTAAGCGCCACAACTGTCATAAGGGTGAGAATCCAAAATGGGAAGAATTGAAAATAAATCAGAGTGAAAAAAAAACAACAAATGTCTTCCCAATTGTCCAATATTCAACGTAATCTCAACTAATTCTCAAATTTTCATAAACAAAACAGAAAAAAAGATGTGTCAAAATTTTAACAAAAAAAAAATCAACAGGTAAAAACAACAAAAATTGTTTAGTATTAATATTCTTCAGATTCAAATATTTGAAAGGGCCACACAGATCACAAGGGTCAGACTCCAAAACCCTAAAGATTAAAAATAATCTACCTGAAGAGAAAACAACAAAAGTCTTTCCAATTGTTGACTATTCAACGTAATCTCAACGAATTCCGAAATTTCCATAAACGAAGCAGAAAAAAAAAAGATAAGCCTCAACATAAATTGGTGCCCCCTTTCTTTCCTGAAAATCTAAATCACGCATATGCATATGAATTGACCCAGCAGTTTCCTGTTGAGTTTATTTACCAGAAATATTAATACCCCAACGCAGGCGCACGAATAAATTCATCCCAACAGGCAAAATCATTCGTATTTCAGTGATTCCCTTGAGTTGTACCACATGTTGCCATAAAACGTTAGTCAGTAGACACTGGGCATTGGTAACGAGAGCGAATGAATAGCGAATGAGAGGGATCGTGAAATAAGTGAATAATACTGAGTGTCGGAGTGAGAAGTTTAACGAATTGTTATCGCTGGATGAAACTGGATAGACACGCGTAGTAAAAACACATTCAGGGAGACATATGTCTCGAGTGATCTATTGTTGTTAAAATTTTTTTGTTCATGTGCTGAAGAATTCTGTAGTAATTGGGCGAGACTGCTGGACGTCTTGAGGCACTTGGACGACACTAGGTACTCATGTGGAATAGTTTATTTCTGGTCGACCAGATTTAACCCGGATTTTCAAGTATTCCAAGTGACCTTTGGAATACTGACGAGTGCCTCAGAGGGATTTGTTTATGAAAATGTTTTCATCTTCAATTAAGACATTGATGAATAAACTCAATGGATTCACGTACGAAAAAATTCAATTGAGAACTTTGCAAATTCGCTAAAAAATTCTATTTGTTTTTTGCACTGATTCTATTGGATACTCGGTAAGAAAAAGTCAATAGATGTCGCATTTCTTTTTGAATTTTCCCCTTGAGATTTTTATATAAAAATGCTTGAGCATCAATTTTCTATGTTTTTACACTCGGATTCGGTAACGCAAAACAAAACAAAATTCAGAGGAAAAAATTTTGAAAATTTGTGCCCAATAAATCTAATAGGGGAGGGTAGGGCAAAACGGACCTCTGATATAAAATTGATAAATTTTGTTGTTTTTTCTTTCCTTCAAATCAGGAACACTGAATGTGTTGGATTAAAAGTGAGTTTTTTTGATCGTAACCGTCACAGGGGTTTTATAAACAAGTGTCGTTGAACCGCAATTTGATCAGATTTGCTAATCACCTCAAACCACAAATGACTTCGAATTTACTCCATTCGGATGTAAAAATAAAAATTATCAATTTTCTGTCAATGGTCCCTTTTGCCCTAGGGATCCGTTTTGGCCTACCCTCCCCTAGAAAAATTCGAACAGAAATTCAAAATATATTGACTTTCTCCTATCAAATATGCAATTGAATCAGCGCATAAAATAAGTTGAATTTTTCAATAGAATTCCAATAGAAATCTTATAGAAACCGCATAGAATTCCTATAGAATTCTAATAGAATTTTCCAATGAATTCACTAGGTTTTCTATTGAATTTTCTCATGTGTATTGGCTTGAGATATTGCGTATATTCAACATCTCATGAGATCAAATACGTTAAAGAGAACTCTTTGCACATTCTTCATCATTACATGAACTTTAAACTAATTCTTCATTACTACATTCATCGATAAATCTGAAGTAGTTATAATTTCATTTTGAAATATATTGACTCGACATTTCTCGTGTGAAGGCCTTGAATTTGATCATTTAGTATTTAACAGAGAAAAAATTCCTGCCCTTCTTTCAAAGTAGAAAAATATTACTTTTTCTTATTATTATTTTTTTTTTCATTGCATTTTACTTCGAAAATCCATGAATTTTGTTGAATATAGAATGGATTTTATTGAATCCCAGATGACGAGGTACAAGCAGGCGGAATTTGAAGATGAGGACAGTAGCAGCATTGGTTCAGTCGTGCTCAACAGCGAGGGAATAAGTACATCCGCAACTCACATAAGATATCACTCGGTAATTATTCATGGTTTCATTATCTGAGGAAGCAGGAAATACCAGTTTATCACTGTGGCTTATTTTAATTGGATAAAGAGACGTTATCCCCGCGAACTTCCGAAAAAGTTTTAATTTAGTTTTCATATTTAATTAATCATTCTTCATCCTCTTGATTCCAAATAATCATCTCCCAATGTAAAATACTTTTTGCAGGATAGTGTTCATAGTAAAAAATAAGAAATTAATCATTCTTCGATAAGAAAGAGAATAGGAAATTTCAAATCACCGAGAGCAACGGAATTGATTGGGAAAAGAAATTAAATTGCTCCTTTTGCCTGGCGATATTGACCAATGGCCACATAACCATGAACAGTCATTGGTTGAAGTTCGAGAATTTTTAAATAAAAATAATACACGTAAATGGGCATACGTAGAAGAATACACCACAAATAAGTCGAAAGTTTCTCTTTCTTTTAAATATTCGACAGGATTTCATGAGTAGCTCATTTCATGATTTCATGAGATTTCATCGATCGCAAGTGATTTCAATTGAAATCGCCTGAAATCGATGAAATCCCAGGATTTTACTGATTTCACCTGATTTCATACGATTTCAATCCTGCGTGACACGGTGATTTCATTTGAGCCCGATTTCAGTCCTGCGTGACACGGTGATTCCATTTGAGTCCGATTTGTCCCCAAATGGTGCAAGTGATTTCAGTTGAAATCACTTGCAATCGATGAAATCCCAGGATTTCACTGATTTCACTTGATTTCATACGATTTTAATCCTGCGTGAGACGGTGATTTCATTTGAGCCTAATTTGTCCCCAAATTTCTGACGTTGGGCGATTGTTGGTGGACTCGAGAACAATCACAGACTAAAAATTACGATTTTTCGATGGGAAAAGTGAAAAAAAATCGATGTATATTTCCATTACTTGAAAAAAGTGGTGTGACCCCTCTTAAGGTCATTAGACTCTCATGATCACTTTGTTCGTCCCTCCCGTTTGACCCTTAACACCGTTTGATCCTTATAATTACTCTCTTCCCGTTGAAAAATGACCGGGGCCATAGGGATCTTATAAGAAGCCCACGGAACATACACATTCGGGAGGCGATAAAAGTGCCGAGAGTGGGGGTAGGCCTCGAGCGCTCGGAGCGCGAGGTATCTTATAGAGAGGTATCTTATATTAAGCCACTACTGTATATTTAAATAAAATGGATGAATTCCCTTAGGGATCAACTCTATGGAGAGCGAGAACAACCCTAGAAAAATGCCTAGTGGTAACCTGCATTGGCCTTTTCGTAATGATCGTCATGCTCCTCATCATGATGGGACGCAAACATGGCTGGGATGACGCACAAATTCTGCACGTAACATCAAACTCAGATGGTCCGTATCAATACAGAATGATAATCAATGTTATCTCGAGGGGGCGTTTGGAAATTTATAACCACGAGAGTCTAATCACTGGCTTTTGCAGAAGGTCTGCACTGCTTGACCGAGCGTTGCGTCACGGTCGCTGCTTCCATCATCAACAGCATCAACCCCAAAGTCGATCCATGCGATGATTTTTATGAGTATGCGTGCGGCGGCTGGATCAAGAAGAATCCAATACCCGATGGCAAGAGCATGTGGGGGACTTTTGGAAAACTGGAGCAGGAGAATCAGCTAGTTGTAAAAAATGTTCTAGGTTTGTATGCTTCGTTATGATCAATAAGGCACCTGATGTGTGAGGAATATTCACTAGTGGAGAAAAATTGAAATTGAGAGAGACGTCAAGAATGTCCAAGTACTTTGGCTATTTTTTCTCCAGTAAAATGCTTTTCTACTTTTGTAGTCGAACATCGGAGTTTTCATTTGAGCCCCATTTGACCCGAAGTTTTCGGATATTTTACAATGATTTTATTATTTAAACTTTGCAGGTCTGAATTTGAATCTCGATGTTGAACAGTTAGAAAACATTTTAAGAACCTGAAAAAATTATAAAGTTCATTTATGGAGGAAGATTGATGAAATTATTTAAAATTGCAATTTTTTTAAATTTCGAGCTTTTTCTAAAAATCATTTATAAACAATCACGATTATAAACAATAAGGTTTCCGAATGTTTAAACAATTTCAATAATATATTTATGAACAAGAAATGTTCAAAACATGATAATTCTGTGCAAAATGTAATTTTAATGGCGCTAAATATTCATGATTTTTTTCAAATTTTTTTCACGCAACTTAATTGACGAATTTGATGATTGAAAATGGCTGATTCCATAGTTTGACCTGTACCAGACTGGAAAAGATACTTGCATATCCTTAAATTCAATTTAGGGGAAAAAACTGATGAAATTCCAAATTTCACTGAATATCCAGTGAAATTCCACAATTTTTGAGCAGTAGAACGATGAAAGCTCCACAAATCTCTTGAATTTTCAGTCAAAATGTGAATATTCAGTGTCAAATTACGCACAATTTTCAATTAATTGAAAATTCAAGAATACATTATCCTGAATTTTCTTGATTTCTCCTAATTTTCATGGAATAATTGAATTAAATGTTACACTTTTCATCGAATTTTTCTAAAAGTTTAAATTTTCACCGACAAAATTCCTCGAAATTTCAATGGAACTTCAATGTTATGAAAATTTCCAATAACTGCAGCCGAAATTTTAGTAAAAATCCTTGTGAGATGAATTTTTTGTAATTCTATTATGAATTTTATTCAGAGAAACCATTTGCTGAGATGAAATCAAAAGCCGAACAAAAAGCAAAATTGTATTATTTATCGTGCATGGATGCTAATGAGACCATTGAGGCTCTCGGGGGACAGCCCATGCTGACGCTTCTGGAGAACGTCGGGGGGTGGAATATCACGGGGGGATTCAATGTCAGTCGATGGAGTCTCCAGAACAGTATGCACGTGCTGCAGAATGTATACAATATGGGGGGACTTTTTGCGTGGGCTGTCAACGAGGATGACAGGAATAGCACCAAACACATCATCCAAGTAAGTTTTCTCGATTAATAGTTTTCATTTTTTAAAAATTCAAAAAAAAAATGAAATTGTTTTGAGGCACTGGAGTAATAAAAAAAATCTTTCAAAAATCAGGATTATTTTCGAAAAGGTTCAAATGACACCTGAAGTTTTCCAGATTTTTAGCACTTGTTCATCCATTCATTTCCATAATTCTTCCTTTAGGGAAAAAAGCGGAAAATAGTTCTTGTATTGCCATAGTATCTTTATTTATGCAAATAAATGAGTAATTTGCTTCCAAATGGTTATTTTGCACATGATTTTCTTCTATCATGTATAATTCATTGTTTATTTCATTTTATTAAATTGAATATTTTTTTAAAACTAATTTTCTCAGATTTTCAACTCAGTTGAATGTTATCATCATAATTATTCTCATTACCGCTTTCTTCTATACAATCGTTTGTCTTTTTTACAGTTCTACCTCTCCTCTCAGCCCTTCGATAAAATGTTAATAGAAAAATTTTATTTATACATACTCGAATGAATTTGAAACATCACATTTGAAGAAACCATCAGAAAGTTCACTTTCAGGGAAATTCATGGAAAATTCGAAATTTTCAACAATCATGATAAAAATCAAATCAACCAATGTAGCTATCATAATCATCTTTTAACTTCGATTTAATGGCATTGAAACAAACATTTTAAGCTACGATTGAATTCATTTGAAGCCTGATATTCAAAGATACCCCTGAAATTCTGATTTTGAAAAAATACAAAATTTTTGCAAATTTTCAAATAAATCAAAATAACGATTATTGCTATCGCCTTCATTTTCGAACTAGGTCAAAAAAACATTCAAACAAATTTTTTAAGCCATCATTTATCAATTCAGAACATTTTCTTTTTAGTTATCGTCGGACAACCGATTTCCGAAAAAATTCTAAAATTAAAAAACTAATGGATGATTTAAATTTTAATTAATGGCGAAAAAGATTTAATTACATCGATTCATTTGCAAAAAAATCGTCATTTTATTATATTTTCAGATTGACCAAGGTGGTCTTACCCTCCCCACCACCGACAACTATTTGAACAAGACAGAGCATGGAAAAGTCCTCGCCGCATACCTCGATTACATGACCAAGGTATTGATGATAGGTAAATTAATGTTTAAAAATGACAAAAAATCATAGAAAATCCGAATTACAATTGTTATCATCAGATCGGAGTGCTACTGGGGGGTGAAGAGGCTGAGACTCAGCGTCAGATGCAGGCTGTGATCGACTTTGAAACTAAAATAGCTGAGATAACGACTCCCCAGGAGGAGAGGAGAGACGAGGAGAAGCTGTACAATCTCATGACCGTCGGTGATTTACAGAAACTAGCACCATTTGTCAGTACACGTAAATCCTCTTTCAATTGAAGAATGTTAACGGATAATAATTCAGTGGTGAAGCGATGAAACTGAAAAGTTCAAAGTGAATTACCCATTTTTTTCGCCAAAAAACGAGAGGAGTTCATCACTTCGCTGCAGAATTGCGACTCAATAAACTCAGAAAATCAATCCTCTCGACTATTTTTCAGATGTCCTGGTTGGATTATTTTCAAAACGCAACGAAATTGGTGAATAAAAAAATTAACAGTAAAACTAAAATTGTTAATTTTGCACCTGGATACTTCAAGAAACTCACGAAATTGGTTCAGGAGTATAATAAAACTACTGACGGTAAAATGTAAGTGTAAAAAATAATTTCCTCATTTCTACCTCAAGACCAATATTCTTTGTAATAAAAAAAACCTGTGATAATTTTTCTAGCGCAAGAGATTAAAGATGTTCTTCATAAAAAAAGGTTAATCAATCAATCAATTAATCAATTTTCTCTCGTCTCTTCTTGTTCTAGAGTTCTTAATAATTATTTAGTATGGCAGACAGTGAGATCCCTCACCGCATTTCTATCAAAACCCTTCAGAGAGGCCTACAAGGGCCTGAGGAAGGCTCTGATAGGGTCAGAAGGGAGAGAGGAGCAGTGGAGATACTGCGTCAGTGACACAAACAACGTCATGGGGTTCGCCATAGGGGCCATGTTCGTCAGAGATGTGTTCCATGGGAAGAGCAAACCCAAAGTATGAAAACTAATTCTCACACCTAGTGCAAGTTGACGATCTTAGCACCATAATCTGATATTTTTTTGCATAAATAATGCAATTGAAAATTTATTTTTCATCCCTTTTTTTTAATCGTCTTCATTCAATTTAAAGAGTATCTTTCCAACCCCAGTAACAATTCCCCCGTCCCTGTGGGGTTCATTCCACCATTCGCCTGACTGGATGCCACATGTGTCTCCGCGTACGGCTATCACGAGAAAAAGAGAAACTCGAAGATGCAAAAAAAAAATTATGAAGAAAATTGGAGCACAATCCGATTGTTATTTTGAATAAATAATTTATTTTCCAATGTCACAAAAAGAATTATTCCAGGCCGAGGAGATGATCAACGAGATTCGTGCGGCATTCGTCAAGAACCTGAAGAACCTCGACTGGATGGACGAGGAGACCCGCAAGGCCGCCGAGGAGAAGGCCAATGCCATAGCCGACATGATAGGCTTTCCCAATTTCATCCTCAACTCTAACGAGCTCGACGAGCGCTACAAGGATCTCCAGATAAGGCAGAACGAGTACTTCCTGAATAACATCAGAGTGAACAAATACACCTTGAGGAAGAACCTGGAGAAGCTGGACAGACCAGTCAACAAGACCACCTGGATCATGACACCACTGACTGTCAACGCCTACTACTCACCGACCAAGAATCAAATTGTTTTTCCAGCTGGAATTCTCCAGAACCCTTTCTACGACATGGAGAACCCCAGTAGTCTCAACTTCGGGGGGATTGGAGTGGTCATGGGTCATGAACTGACTCATGCATTCGATGATCAGGGTGAGAATGTATTTGTTTTAATCTTTGAAGAGTTAAAAAATGAGAGTCTGGGGCAAAATGACATCGAGACGATAGTCAGATGAAATTATCCTCTATAAAAAACATTGGTGTTACCGTTTTTGTCTCCAATAACCTTAAGAATGTTTCTCCAAAATCGCAAATACTTGAAAAAAATTGATGTTTTTTTAAAACTGAGAGATGAAGATATTACCTTCACTTTGATACAAATGTCAATCCACCAACCCATGTTCATTATTTAGAAATGAAATAGACAAAATGCACCAAATGCATGCGCTAACATGCGCTTATATGCGATAGAATCATTCAAATATTTCCTCTTTTTGCCGGGTACCCCAGATTTTTCTCTGGCCACTGGATTCAGTATGATTTTACACATTACCTTCTATTTTTATTTCTATTTTTAGAGTCTTCTACTAGATGAATTATCAATTTTTTTTAATCGTTATTTTACATCGCTTCGACCCGGTTAGGGTATACTGCGATGATAATTATCAATTTGAACAGAAATTTCATAAGAGCCCGTGTATCAGGAAAAATTAGTTTATTCATTTCTGCCGAGACTATTGTGATTAATTTTCTTTTGACGTTAGAAATGTTAATTTTATGTGTTTTGCTGTCAGCCGAAAAAATTACAGAATTTTCCTTGACCATGAAAAAAAAAAACACATTTACCGACAATTTACCGACACTAGCTAAACATCCTTAAACATAGTTTGGTCACACTATGAGGGAAACCCCGCCACGCGTTGTTTTTCTTCAATTACAATTGACTGGCTAACCGGAAGAATTGAAAAAAAATTGATTTTGTCAATTGAAGTATCTAAAAAATTATAGTAGTTTTAAGAACAACATATTTCCCAATTTCCTAAAGAAAACAAATTATTTCGACCGACGCCGCCATGTTGCAAGAAGCCTAAAAGATGGCGGCGCCTCCACCTCGTATTTTCAAACATTTGTTGAAACTGAATGAAACGAATTTTGAAAAAAATAATAAAATGAATAAAATTCTACAGAATGAACGAATTTTTTAAACCATCTTTCAGATTTTTCCATCCCTCGTTGGCTGACAATTTACGGCTCAATGTTTTTTTTCGCATTTCAGTAGTTTTTTTTCCACTCCCAAGACCAAAATTCAATAAAAAATTGATTTTCTTTCATTTTTTCAGGACGTGAATACGATCTACATGGGAATCTCCACAAATGGTGGAACAACGCAACAATAGACAGATTCAAAAACAGAACCGAATGTTTTGTGGAACAATATGGCGATTTTCAAATTGAGGGGAGAAACATTAACGGACGACAAACCCTAGGTGAATAAATTTATCAATTTCGTTTTTTGCTTCCGAATGGAAGCATTGTAACCGTCCAATTTTCACATTCTCCAATTTTGCAAAATTCCAACTCGATCGATCTAATGTTTTTTGAAAAAAAAGCGATTCGTTTTTAAATTGTTTTCCACAAATATCTTCAAAACTAGGGGACTGATTTCGATTTTTTTATATTCAAAATATTCGTTTCGATGCCTTCTATCTAAATCAATCAAAACACATATACCCGTTCATACAAAGTTATGGAAATATTCCTGTTTTTGTTTTTTCATTAAAAAAATTGTAGTTTGCTAGTTTGCGCCAAAAGCGAGATATCAACTTGAAATTTGGACAGAAAATATATACCCGTTCATACAAAGTATTTGAAATATTGGATTTTTCATGTTAGAAATTAAATTCGATAAAATTGAATTCGATTTAGGGGGAGAATCGTGATAAAATTTCGTTTTGTATAGAATTCAAAGAAATTCATGAGTTTTCAGTGGAAATCGAACAGAAATTTCACAGCTTGACAAAATTCAGAAACAAAATGATATGAATTTTCAATTTTTCCTCGAATTTTCCTGATTTTCCCGAATTTTCACGGAATAATTGAACGGAAAAATCAAGAATTCTATTGATTTTCTGATAATTCAAACTAAAAATCTATGGTATATTTGATTTTTCAATTACGAGATTTCCTGAAGTTTCAGTGGAAATTAAACACGATAAAAATTTCCGCGATTTGGCAGGGAAAATTCAGACGAAAATTTTTAACAATGTATAAACTTTTGCACTGCCCCCTGCTTGCTTTTTTTCCACGGAAAATTGAACTATTCATTTGACGAGGTTTTTCTTCTTGGCTTCAGGTGAAAATATAGCTGATAATGGAGGTCTCAAAGCTGCCTATCACGCATATCTGGCCACCCTGAAGAGCTATCAAGACCAATTGCCATTGCCAGGTCTCCAACTCACCCATCGCCAACTATTTTTCCTGAATTTTGCCCAGGTCTGGTGTTCCGCAATAACACCAGAGTCAATAGGCCTTCAAGTAGAGAAAGACTCGCACTGTCCACCAAAATACCGAGTCATAGGACCACTTTCAAATTTGCCAGAATTTTCAGCTGAATTCAACTGCCCGAAGGGTTCAAAAATGAATCCCGGGGACAAGTGCGAGGTTTGGTAGTGTTAAAAATTCGAGAGAATAAATTTTTTCATTGACTTCAGTTGAGTGAGATCATGAGATAAATTCATCGTGCAGAGTCAATCCCTAGAAACCATGAATGGCACTAAAAATGAGGGATGAATAACGATAACAATTGGAATGGTCACGCAATTTTTTGAGAAGAAATGTTAAAACCCCAAGGATAAAATTTCAATCATCATTTCTCTGGTGACATCCAATCCCCAATGGCGACGTAAAATTTTTTATTATTTATTTTCATATTAAATTAATCAATAAACCTGATGATGATACAAACAGTGGATTTAATGAATTGAATTCACGGTCTCAATTCACCTTATTCCTCCATACAATAGAGAAATAACTGAGTGGCAATATCTTTGACATTGTGTACGTTAATTGAGCATATCCACGTACTTTGGTTATTTTTTCTTTACTGAAATATTTTTCTATCGGATTGAGCCCCATTTGACCCTCGTTTCCAGTCGTTTTACAATGATTTTATTATTTAAACTTTGCAGGTCCGAATTTTTCGTAAAACAAATTTTTTTTCCAAATTGTGCCCAATATTTCTGCGGAGTTTCAAACTATCAAATCGCCCTTTGACTCAAAGAACATGAAAAACCTTTCAAAATGAGACGTCATACATTGCATTATCGTCAGTTTGACGGGGTTTATACGGGAAAACATTTTTTTGTAATATCTGCCTCAAAAGTTCACTTTTCGAAACCGTTTAGTGTATGTAAAGTGGTTGTTTTACGCACAATGTGCGTCAAGTTCAGAGGTCGTGCGTAAAGTGAATTTCGAATGCGTAAAGCGTCGCTTTACGCACTACCAATTCATTTTACGCACTACCTTGAACTTTACGCACATCATGCACAAAAGCAACCACTTTAGTTCTACTACGGTTCCAAACAGTGAACTCGGCAGTTATTACAAAAAATAGGATGTGTTACGCGTACGTGCGAAAAAGTGGTTCTTTACGCACTTGTAACACAATATACTATTTTTCAATCGTTAATTACTAAAAAGGCTAATTTAATAAAAAATCTGAAATTTTCACTAAAAATTCTCAATAAAAGTAAAGGAATTTTGGCGACAATTAGTTTGTCTTTTGCCGCAATTCGGCGGTTATCATTTTTTTCAGTGGGACAAGTATTGAAAACGACCGAAAATCACTGTTATTCATGCAATTATGCCCCAAATGAGTAAATATATTCACCTGAATAATAAAAAAATGAGTCAATTCAATTAAATTCTCGATTACCAACAAATGAAAAATGTATTTCTATTGTATAATTAGAGCAATACAAATTTGTCACTCAAAAAATCATACTGAAGATGAATAATGGAAGATATAATAAGTCTAACCTCCACCATTTGCTAATATTTAATTGAATATTTACTTGTTTGGACGATAATTGCACGAATAATAGCGATTTTCGGTCATTTTTCAATACTTGTCTCAATAAAAAAATTAACAACCGCTGAACTGCGGCGAAAGACAATTTCTCAAATTTCTGATGGAAAAAACTTAGCTTTTTGAGTAATTAACGATTAAAAAAAAAGTTTTTTTCCGTAAACCCCATCAAACTGAAGATAATGTTATGTATGACGCCTCATTTTGACGAGTTTTTCCTGTTCTTTGAGTGAACCAAAGGGCGATTTTATAGCTTGAAACCCCGCAGAGATATTGGGACCAAGTTGGAAAAACAAATTTTTTGGGCAAAAACTAACAATTTTCAAAAATCATCAATCACATTTTTCAATTGTTCTTCTTTAAAAAAATTTTTATAACCGTCGTCTTCTCAGACAAAAATAAGATTTCCGAAAGTTTATACAATTTCAATTATTTATTTACAAACAGGGAATCTTTTAAAAATAATAATTCTGTAGAAAATGTCATTCTAATAACTCTGAATCTTCATGATTTTCTTCCAAATTTTCTTAGTCAATTTAATTGACAAATTTGATGATTGAAAATAGTTGAATCTTTATTGTGATCTGTACCAAACTGTAAAAGATACTTGGATATCCTTAATCATAATTACCATCATGTTTGTTGTTAATTATTATGGAAATATAGCTGAGGGGTGGGCGTCTTCCAATAAAAAAAATCGCCATGATGTGAATGATTGGTGGATGTTTAAATGTTTTCACGTTGATAGTGCATACATATCTAGTTAATCGGGCTTTTTGTTTTTCATTTTTATTCAGGCACTGAACAAATTCATAAGCAAGTGTTTTATTCAGTCAATGTCTTTCGCTGAGTATAAACGTTCAACAATACCTCTATATCCAATAATTAATCATTTTTCATGGAGTGAATTGGGGGAAGAAATAATGCTGTTATTGGTTAACACCACAAACCAACAATCCAATTGATTAATTATTCTTCATCCACTTGATTCCAAATAATCATCTCACAATGTAAAATACTTTTTGTATTAAACACGATGCAGTTTGATAATATGAAGTAGATTAATTGATGATTTTCGAGTGCATTATTTCTGCGGGCAGGATAGTGATGATAATAAATAATAAAAAGTGAATTATTTTCCGATGAGAAAGAGAATATGAAATTTTAAGTCACTGTATTGTAATGTCATTGATTGTGAAAAGAAATTAAAATTCTTCTTTTCATTTAAGTTATTATTAATCAATGGTGAATGGAGGTGTGAAGTATATGTAAATAACATGAATGAATTAAATAAATTCGACATTGCTTTGAAAAGTTTATGGAATTAATCAATTCATTTTCACGTAATTCTCTTTATTTGGGGATAATTGCTCTTCAGGTACGAATTTTTCGGGAAATTTCCCTCTGTCAATTTCACCAGTGTCTTCAGGCGTCTTTTGATCTTCCGTTTTCTCTCACATCTCAATTTAATTCGATGCCATATTATCTCAAAAATGCAGATCAATGCACTGAGTAGAATCATCGTGCATAATCCCAGAAATATAATTATTATGTGGCCGTATTCAACAGGTTTGAAGTCAAATTTATGGTGCACGTCGTCACGTAATTCTCGGGATATCCACTTTCTCTCGAGATAGTCAAAAATCCCTGATGAGTGGAGTCTCATCAAGCTGAATAAATAATCAAGTTCATTTTTTAATAAAAACAAGTGAAAAAGTGCACTTGTATTAGTACAGTTATTATTTTTGCTAATAAATTAGCAATATCCTTCCGAATGGTAATTTTGCACATAATTTCTGTCTAGTACGTATAATTCATTATTTATTTCATTTTATTAAATTAAGTACGATTTCTTTGTAACTAATTTTGTCGAATTTTCAACTTAGTTGACTGTTACCATCGTCAGTATTCTTATTATTGCTTTCGTCTATGCACCCGACTGTCTTTTTTACAGTTACTTTCTCCCCTCTGCCTTTGGATATAATGTTAATAGAAAATTTTTATTTATAGTATATAGGGAGAGTGGGGCAAAATTAAACAGTAAAAAAACGATAGTTTGACGCAAGTAAACAAAAAAAATTTTTTTTCATTCAATATTTTTTTTGTCAACTTTTTTTCATTCTTGGGAGTACTGATGGGAATAATACTTTTTTCGGCCACCGTCGTCGGTCTTCAATTTATTTTCAAATAATTTTTTCCGAAGTTTTCGAACAAAAAATTTTTTTTTTTCAAGTTAAAAAAAATCATGATTTTTAATGTTTTTTTTTCAATTCTATAATGAAATAAATTCGAAGTATGAGTAAATAAATAAATAAATTAAATTAAATTCAAATGAGCCCTACGGGCTAGCGCACTGCGGCTTAGCTCTGGGAAGCTAAGCAGCGCTGAGCGTGGTCACTAGATGGATGGGTGGCCGCGCGGGAACACCTCAGAAAAGAAGCACTGATTGGAAAAACTGGAAATGCCATTGGGGGGAAAAAAAAATATGCGGCAAAAACGGGATGAAGGAATGAGAAACCATTAAACTGAAAACTATACGGTGAAATTGAAGAAAAAAAAATGAAATTCAAACTAAATAAATTCAGAATTTCAAAGTGGAATTTTCCAAATAGCTTTTTTTTTAATGAAAAAAAAGTGTACGAAGTATCCCTAGTTGAACGATCTATCACTTACTATCTGTCGATAACCCGCCGATAAGGTGAGAATCGAGCGAATACGAAAGAGATCCTCAATCCCCAGTAGTTACCAGGCAGTTGAATCATTTTGCATCGTTGTGTTGACTGTCGATAAGCGTCGATAAATATGTCCGGTGCTTCCATGTAAATAACATCGGATTTGCAAAGATTCTTGGAGTCTCTCATGTCGGGACAGTTGCCGGTATTGATGAGGCCCTTTAATGATAATCCAGGGCCCAATACCGAGGTCATTATGTCCTTGTACACGAGACTGTTGCGCCTCATGCATAAGGAGTGTGTTCGCTTCTGGGCGACGTCGTGGATGGATTGTAGGGGAGTGAAGCTACCTCGTGAGGCGAGGTATGAGGTAAGGTTGCCGGAGAAACCGCTGTATATGAGGAGACCCATCATCAGTGATGTTATCATGAGGATCCTCAAGGACGGTGATGAGGGCATCATCTGGACTCCTGGACAGATTTTTTTATTTTGGATTGGGGGGTGAGGGTTAGGATGTAATTTCAAAAGAATTTTTGGGTTCAGGTCTGAATTTAGGACAAGGCATAAATTCAGGTCTCCCTATCAATTCAGGTTCAAAAGTTAAAAAAATCACGTTCATAAAAATCCAAGTCAAGGCTTAAATTCAGATCACGAATTAATTTCAGGTCGACGCTTAAATTCAAGTCAAGGCTTAAATTCAGGTCGCGTCTTAATTCCAGGTTGGGCGTGAATTTAGGTAATTTCTCAATTCCTGGCCGGGACTTAAATTCAGGTCACTTCTTAATTTCAGGTCGGGGCTTAAATCCTGCCGCGGATTAAATGCAGGTCGTGGATTCGCTTCAGGTCACGTTTAATTCAGATCGCGTATTAGATTCAGATCGCAGATTCTATTCAGGTCCGGACTTGAGTTCATGTCGCAGATTAAATTCAGATCGGAGCTGAAATCCGGTCACGGATTAAATTCAGGTTCAGAATAAAATTTAGCTCAATGCGTGAATTCCAGGTTTTAATTCAGGTCCAGGTGAAAATTTAAAAGAAGAAATACTAATTTTATATAAATAATTACCTTGACCAGTAATACCTCCTAAAGCACACAATAAATCCAGTGAAACAGCATCAAGCTCATCATGACACTCGACGTAATCATGACAGGTAGTTTTTTTAATCCTGTACATTCCCACTAGCATGAATGTTATACCGATAAGAAAGAGAGAGGTCATGGCCCAGAGACCACCGCTGAAGATCTTGACGTACCACCAAACTGATATTTTCGTACCTTCTGATAACGCGAATAATGAATATCTAAAAATAATAATTCGTCGATTACGAGTCATCAGCAGAAAATATTTTGGTTCCATATGTATACCCTCTCGGTTTTTTACATTTTGTTCCCTTCCCTATCTGTGTTACCATGGGCCAACCTTACTTTATCCCCAACTGCTCCCCATTCGGGATTGAACTGCCAGGGAAACCATGGAAAAAACCTCAGTCGTGCAGGCGGCCGATAATGCAGAGATTCCACTGTGTCCATTAGTCACACTGACTCAATGGGCACAGTGGTTCTCTACATTCGTGCCTAGCGACTGTAGTCCCACGCGGTTAGATGTTCCATCCATCCGGATGGATGCGGACACCCATCCAAGTACTGGGCAGATTGAACGCTGCTTAGCTTGAATGACAGCTGGAGCCACACTTTCCCCGCGTGACCACTACAGCCGCAGAAAATTCAGAATCAGTTTTTTCAACGTATCTCAGAATCAAAAGGAGATAGCCGAATCATCATTTAGACCTTTTTCGTAGCCAATGGAATTTTCCACAAAAAAGATTTTCAGGAGAATTTTGCCATCTATAGATTTGGAGATAATCCCTCCCCCCCCCACTCCTTTATCAGTCCGTAACGGAATTAATTGCAGCAAAGAAATTATAAAAAAATTCTATAAATGTGAGGCAGCCATCAAGAGAAGGGTTGAAAGTGAGTAATGGGGATACAAGGGAGCAAAGATTTGTTATTTTCAATGAGTTGAAGGAATTTACGAGTTTGTGGCGACTTGATAACTGTATACGTAGTGGCCAGCTGGGTACGTGTTCATGATCTTGGCTTCCAACAATACATCGATAGTTCCATTTGTCAACATTTTTCTATTGCTTGCTCCTGGTTTTACGAAAATTGATCTGAAACAAGAGATGATTTAACTTTTTTTTTTTATCGAACATCAAGTTATTGACCATTTACGTAAAGTTCAAGGTTTTTTCCAAGCTCGTCCATATATCCCCAAGGTAGCCACTAACTCTGGTGTAATTACCCTCGACGCGAACATAAGGGCGCCTCTAAAAAAATGAGAGAGTGAAAGTTAACTTTTTTTTTCCTTTCGAATGAAAGCTTTGTAATCGTTTGAATTTGAATTTTGGATTTTTTGGGTTATATCGACCCGGTATGATTCATAAACAAAATGCAATGTGTGTGTGTATGTGTGTACGTAGATGACAAAATTTTTCTTCAATTATTCGCTAATGAATGGATGGAATTACATTTTTCATCACGCTGCGTGCCTAAAAGTCCAATTTCCGCCACATTGTGATGAAAAATATTGTTCGTAACTCGTGAAAAAATGTTTTTTAGCTCGTGGGATTATATAACCTCCCTCTCGCCAAAAAACACTTTTTTGCACTCGTTACGAAATATACTATTTTTTTCAAATGTGGGTATTGTAGAACCCTATCGATCGCTATTGATTAAAATTTAATTCATCGATTAGTTTTTTCTAATTTTCAAATTTTTTCGAAAATCAGTTGTCCCACACGGAGAGAAATATTCAATGAAAATTACGTATCTTTTCCGTAATTCCGGAGCGTTCCATAATTTTTATCTGAATCTCTTCAGAAAAATGACGATATCGTCACTTAAATTTTCTGAGTCGATTCCGTAATCGGTGAGTGAAGTGAGAGTTCCGTAATTTTTACGGAACATTTCTCTTCGTGCACGATAACTAAAAAAATATTCTGAATTGATTGAATGATGGCATCAAAAATTCGTTTGGATGTCCTATTGACCGAGTTCGAAGATGAAGGTGATAGCAATAATCGTTATTTTGATTTATTTGAAAATTTGCAAAAAATTTGTATTTTTTAAAAACCATAATTCCGGGAATATCTTTGAATGTGATATTCAAATGGATTAAATCATAGCTTCTTAAAATGTCTCTTTTAATGCCATTAAATCGAAATTAAAAGATGATTATGATAGCTATATTGGTTAATTTGATTTTTATGATGATTGTTGAAAATTTAGAATTTTTCATGAATGTATACAAATGTAATTTTTCAAATTCATTCAAGTATGGGTAAATAAAATTTTTCTATTAACATTTTATCGAAGGGCTGAGGGGAGATATTGAACCGTAAAAAAGACAATCGGTTGTACGGAACAAAGGGATAATGAGAATAATGATGATGATAACATTCAATTAATTTGAAAATGTGACAAAATTAGTTGAAAAGAAATCTTCTTCAATTTGACAAAAGGAAGCAAACAATGAATTATACGTGATAACAGGAAATGATGGGCAAAATAACCACTCGGCGACATATTACTAACTCATTAGCAAAAGTAACTTTACTATATGAAATACAAGAGCAATTTCCCACTTGTTTTAGAATGAAATGAACTTTCGTGTTTTTTTTTTCAATTTGTGAGATTGTTTCTAAGATTCTTAAGATTCTAAACTTACTGAGGCTACGGCAACCACAAGGGTCCTCCCCTCGAAGTCCTCACGAGTGATGAAATCAACACTGCATAAAAGCTCTCCATCTCTCATGAGTGCCTCGAGAAGGCCGAAATCTCGAATAGAGGAGTCCCAAATGTGAATTCTCCCCGGTAATTTCATAGCTGATTCGACTTCTCGTCGTGTCTTCAGTATGGGTACGCAGACCTTTCCGTTTGTGGGTGTAAAGATCACCTGGATGATCCATTTATTCATTAATTAAAAGAAAAATAGTTGAACAAATGGAAATCAGGATTTACTTACCAGCAATAATAAAATCGTCTTGACTGCTGGATTCATATTGCACTCGACGTAGCCACGGAAAGAATATAGCAATCAATCACTGGGGTCTTATATACCCTCGGCAAGTGACGAACTCGATGACAATGCATGTCAAAGTAAATTGACAGCATTTTTACTTTCTTCAATTGACAAGAAAATAGGTGACTCTTTGTTGAGAATCGATGAGTCATCAATTAATATAGAGACTCCATAATAAACTTCAAGAAATATCAAAAAATTGATGAGCAATTGATGATTTGTTGGGTTCAATGGAGAGGAGTATTGATTTATTTATTGGACAGCTTCAAATATTGAAATTAGTGTCTCTCATGAATTTAGTCTCTGGCAGAAATTCAGGTTTAAACATAAATTCAGGTCCAGGCATAAATTCCGACTCTGATATGAATTTAGTCACAACAAAACTGAGCATGTGGAGTAAATTCAGGTTTAGACACAATTTCAGGCTGTGATGTAAATTTAGGGGCAACGAAATTAAAATTGTCTTAAAGTAAATTTCAGTCGAGGCTTAAATTCCGGTCGTGGCTTATATTCAAAATTGTTAATGTATTCGGGGCATGGTTTAAATTCAGGTTTATACCCAAATTGACGAGTATAAATAAAAATTTTGTATGAATAATCATCTTGACTGGTGATACCTCCTACAGTACACAATTAATCCTTAAAATATGTCCAAGAATTGATAAAATATGATGATTTCATGGGTTGAATGGAGAAGAGTATTAATTGATTTCGTGAATAGTGTTGTATTGGAAATTAGTGTCTTACATGAATTTAGTCTCGGGCATAAATTCAGCTTTAAACATAAATTCAGGTCCAGATATAAATTGGCCGTGACTATTCGCACCATTGCATGAATCACTCCCGTACACTCCACGCATGCGTGAAGTTTGTGTGTTTCACGCAGCCGAATTTTCATACTGCTGTGTATTTCACGCAGTTGAAGTTTCATACTACTGTGTGTTTCACGCAGTTGAAGTTTCATACTACTGTGTNGTTTCACGCAATTGTATTTTTATACACCTGTGTGTTTCACGAAGTTGCATTTTTATACACCTGTGTGTATCACGCAGTTGCATTTTTATACACCTGTGTGTATCACGCAATTGCATTTTTATACACCGGTGTGTTTCACGCAGTTGAAGTTTTATACACCTGTGTGTTTATACACACAGGAGT